AATAATTCACGAACTCTGGTACCGAGTGTGAGAGCTGCATTCTCGTCGTCATATATGGTTTCCTTGAAGACCTGTAAATGCATAGTAAATAACATACTGATTAAAACTTCAGATTTATCAAGGCGTTAAAGCATGTTTTGTCTACTTCAGCATATGCTATTTAATAGCATACTCAAGAAACCTGATAAATGTTAATTGAAATAACAGTAGCATAGTTTATTTAGGAAAAAGAAAGCCTGTAGCCGTTGGAATGTAGGTCTTCCGTAAAGTTATAAGGCTACGTCGTTCTCGCGATCTTTTCATGAAATTCATCCTCCAGTACTGCTATCCGTTTCTGTAACTTCACGCAGGAGTACCTTCTTTTAAAGGGAAAGCTTAGAGCCTTTTTGTAGGCGTAGTTTGTGGTCTTCTGCGTCCTACCTAGAGAGTGGTACTCGCCAGTCTGGAAATGATGAAAGGAGAATAAAGCCGTTAAGGACTTGATGTCGAGAGCTCTCATTTTGTTTGATGCTATACCGACCCGTTTGAAACAACAGGTGCTAAATTATTTGCTCGAAGGAATTCGTGAATAAGACAGAGATTGTCTTCGACAGGAATCGAACTCGGCACCTCGGAGTTAGAGGCAGACCTCTTAAGGTACTGTGCCACAACGTCATCGTGTTTTTTAGACTGAACAGCGAAGGAAGGGTCGATCCTTTTTTCGGTAGCATGCTTTTACCCGTTGGACCGTATGGTTTCATTTATAAGCAAGGCTTCCCCACTTAATTTTTTGAAATAAGAACTGCCGTTTCGAGTCATACTTGACACTATTCAGTGGCCCACAATTCAGGTTAATGGTCGGAATGTCCTTTCAGATAGCTGCTTCACATAATCTGTATAGCTGGCTTTGTCAGAACTTGCTCTATTGTTTCATCAGCTATATGTTTCACGATTCTTAATGGTTCTTTATGGATGCCATAGTTGATCAGGAGCATTTTGCCGTTTTGACTCTGCTATTTGATCACTGCTTCGTTGCCAGTTTTTCCTGACCGTGTATATAGTCACCGCACAGTCAAGTTTAATAACAGCCGCGTACTTCTGAAGTTTAACTAAATCTCAGTTGTTCAACCAGAATGAACTGATGCCTCTTGTATTTATGTATTTGTGCTTACATTTGTAAATCCGTACTTTTTCCTCATTCGCATTTTGTGTGTGTAATTGTGTGTGTGTGTGCGTGTATGTGTGTACACAAATAACACACTCAGAAAGCTAAAAATATAAATGCAGAAACATGCCTTAGAGATATATGTTTATTTCATTAGAACAGTTCAGATTCAGTTAAACCCTGACAGTACGTTACTGAGTAGTACTTCACTAGACAATCGATGACTACATGCTCGAAAAAGTTGCCAACAACTAGAATAGGAACAAAACTTTGCTACACGGATAATGGCCATGCCTAATTATAACAGATAATTTGGGAACTTTATTTATGCACTGGAGTGATTCAGATTCAACCGGTTGACTGCTTATTCCCTGTTTAAAAATGATATATAACATAAGTGCATATGGTTTGTCTATTATGTATGCTTTAATTTATGTCCATCGACACTTCACATCCAAATTTATTAGACCGCTTCTCATTTCGGGTACCGGAGGCAGACATGTCAGACAGCGCTTCCAGCGCTAACGATTTTATACCACCATCCTTCGGTTGAAGACAACCGAAGTCTAAAGCAGTCTCTTTCCATACATTTCCACCAGGTTGATATTGACCGTCCCCGAAGCCATCTGCCGATCAATTGGGCAAGTAGTCGTCCCTTCGCCTTTCTTCCTGGACAACATTCGCAACACGTGTCCAGACCATTGCAGTTGTGACTTCTCAGTCTGAAGAATTAGCAGCTGTAACGTAGACTGTCGCGTATATCTGTATTCCGGTCCAAATCGAGACGAGTAAGGCCAGCGACTCCTCTGAAAGCCCATTTCAGCCGCTTGTATCCGGGTTCGAAATTTCTGTCATCATCCACGATTCATGACCGTAGGAAAGCATGGGGAATGAAGATCGATTTGAACAGCGAGAGATTGGTCTTCAGACTCAGCTCTTCTTTAGTCACGGTGGTGGTCGGGCTAGTTCACGCAGAACGTCACTGACTACTCCAGTTCGCTGGTCGTTCTCTTCCTCTAATTTTCAATCACCAGCAAACATGACCCCAAGGTACTTGAGCTTCTCCACCTGATCGATTGTTTCTCCGTTTATCTGAGAGCAACGGATGGGAAATCGAGAAAGCAGTAGGCTTATGGTTTTAGATACCGGATGCCGACCATGTCACACTCACCTGCTAACCTTTCCAGAGTGCGTTGTAGATCAGTTTAAGAAGATGCAAATAAAACAAGGTCGTCTGCAAATAGCAACCTTCTCGCGTCCACATCTCCTCCTCACATACAGTCATTTCCTTGGATTCGCCTGGCTGTTCCTTCCATCTGCAACACAGAGATGCGATGCGGCAGATCACAGCGTTTGCGGAATCCAGTGCCAGCCTTGAAACGTTTCGACTTAACCTCATATACTCTGACGCAGCACCTACTATCAAGGTATAGTAATTGGATGACCCGTAGCAACTGGCAATTGATCCTTTATGTTCGCAGGCATGCCAACAGACTGTTGCGCTGGATCCGGTCATATACTTTCTGAAAGTCAACGAAACACATGTATACCGGATGGGCGAACTCTTAATATTTCAATCAGGTCGGAAGCCACACTTTTATTCTTGTATCTTCGAGTCAGTTATTCTGTGGCAACTTCTTTCATGCACCTTTGTGCATACTCTTTCTTGAAGGCTCAAAAAGGTAATCCCCGATAATTCGATTA